GGAGGATTGGTGGAAAGGGCACCGCCAAGTATTCCCCACTCGCAGGGACATGGGGTTTGTCGTGGTTGCCCTCCTCCACCCCACCACGCACGAGTGCCTGTACAGCGTGCTGCGTGGGTTGCCCTTTGGCCTGGGGTCAGCGGTGAACCAATTCAACCGGGCCCCGCTCCTCCTCACAGCCGCCGCTCGCCGCCTGCTGCACGTGATGGGCGGACATTACGTCGACGATAACGTTATCGTAGATTTTGCGCTGTCTAAGGGGGACGCCCAACAGGCCCCCCAGGAACTCGCGCGCTTGCTGGGCGTGGCGCTCTCGGACGGAAAGCGCGTGCCACCGACGTCAATGTTGCCTTTCTTGGGACACTTGAACGACCTAAGCCGCATCCAAACCGATTCGGCGGTCAGTTTCGAGCCTAAGTTAGGAACGCGTGACCGTTTCTTGGATGAGGTGAACCAAGTCTTGCTGGCTGGGCGTCTCCAGTCTGGCGAAGCCGCACATCTGCGCAGCATCAGCACATGGCTTGACACCTCGCTTGCTGGCCGGCCGCGTCGGGGCGCTATATCCGCCCTCATTGCGCGCCAATATTACGAGGACACTGTAGAGATCACCCCGAACCTTCGGCGTTGCCTCCAGTACTTATCCTCCGTAGCACGACACGCTGCGCCCAGGTCGCTAGCCATTGCGTGTGACCCGCTTCCACCAGTGGTAGTCTACACAGACGCGTCTGCGGACAGTGGAAGGCCCCCGCGTCTTGGTGCTCTTGTATTCGTTTCTGGACGTGCGCCTGCTTGCCTTGTTTATGATGTATCCAAAAATATGTCTGCCCACCTGGGTTCGGAGGGAGGCCATGTGATCAACCAGGCAGAATTGCTAGCTGCCCATCTCCTGGCGTGGCCCATGCCATCCCCGCTGCAGAACAGGGACGTGTTATGGTTCATTGACAACCAGGCAGCCGAAGCCGCTTTAGTCAAGGCGGGGTCGCCTACGGAGTCGATGCGTCGCCTGGCCCTCGTGGCCACAGCGGCACTGACGGCTCTTGGAGCCAGGCCGTGGTTCGAATGGACCCCGTCTTCCGACAACCCCGCAGACGTCCAGAGCCGCGCCGGATACGACGATCCCGTCGTATTGTCTCACATCCGCGCTGCTCGGTGGGAGGCGTTCTCACCACGAGAGCCTCCTGTAGCCGCCTTAGATTTCGACCGCCTGTTTGCCTCGCCCCCCTGACTGGTCGCGGGAGAAAAAAACACAGGCGCCAAGGCGTGCAAGGAACGCCTGCCTCTCAGCTGATCTCTGACCATTTCTTTTGTTATATTCCACAGCGCTGGGGGGGCTTGGGGACTTATCTTTGTCAGCGTTGGGCGTTGTTTGGCCGATCAGAGAACCAATTGCCACATGCGGGATTCCTGATACGGAGTACCAAGCTCCCCCCCGCCACCACGAGTCAAAGATTGCAGCTAGGGCGTCGATTCCTCTCACCCCCCCTTCTCGCTGATAATCGCTCCGATCAGTTTTGGGAAGGCAGGGTAGGTGCTGATGGGGATTATCATCAGATGGGAGCGTGCACCTCGTCGCAGCCCTCTCGGCCCGAGGGGCGCGCGGGCGAGGGTTTTCGTTTCCCCACCCCCGTCCCCTTGATGCACCACCTCGTCGGCTGTAGCGCTGATGTTCGTTGCCCTTTATGCCGGCATGCCAAGCAACCGGTTGGGCCTCACCTCCTTGGGCTCCGCCCGGCCTGGCCTGCCCAGCTACAGCCGGCGACAGTCCTGGGCCCAGGTCTCGCGCGGGAAGTCCCTGTCCCCGTGCTCTTTGCGGGGGGTGTTGTTTGGCCGATCAGAGAACCCATTGCCACATGTGGGATTCCTGATACGGAGTACCAAGCTCCCCCCGCCACCACGAGTCAAAGATTGCAGCTAGGGCGTTGATTCCTCTCACCCCCCCTTCTCGCTGATAATCAAAAAACGATTCGGGATGAAAAACCGGCCCTGGGGAACGGGTCGAGACTTTTGGGGAATGGGTCGGGAGTTCTGGGGGCCCACGTCGATCATTCCGCGTTCGCATGATGGCAGGGGGCTCATGTTTCATGCCCCCGACGTTTCGTATTATATTCGAATGAGGCGTTTCGAGTTTCCTCCCGGTGCAACTGGTCCTGCACCGATTCCGTGACACACGCATTTGCTTCAACAGTGCGGGACCAGGGTTTTTGTGATGGGCCTGGCGGGCGGCGCGAGGAGCGCATGTGATGAGAGAGAGAGAGAAAGAAAAGAAAGAGAAGAAGAAAGAAAAGAAAATAAAATAACAACAACAACAACAACAACAACAACAACAACAACAACAATCATTTTACCCGAACGCGCGGTGTTATTCTACCCCCCTCCCCGTGCCGGGGCTTGGAGAGGGTGTTTTCATACGACCACCAGGCATAGGGAGGGTTTTCGGAATTCGTGGGGGGGCATTACAAGCTCTACCAAATTTCCAAACGACTCTTCGCGACCACCCCAGACCCAGCTTTCGCCCCTATGACGTTGGGAACCACTCACGTTCGTGGCGTGCGGACGACCGTGGCTCTACACTGGCGTGGGGTACACACATCCACGAACTTGGTCACTTATTCGGGGCGGCCAGTGTGCCGGACGGCAGACTAGATGGTGCAATTGTGCAATACATGTGCGATAATACCAGAGAGACGCATAATGTGTCCCGCATGGTATTATTTGACAGGGATGATGGCCCTGGCAGGTGCGCAACCGTTGTTGCAGAAGTTCGAAAAAGTTGCTCGTAAAAGCCCGTTTGACAGAAATGTTTAAAAAGTGTTGGGTTTCCTACGAATCCGCAAGAGCGCGCGGGATGAAATTTCGACATTTTTTGTTTGAAAAACCATTGGTTTTTTGATGTTTTTTATGTTAAAATCGCTACGAAAACTAAGGTTTTGGAAGGATTTCGTCTTGCGCGCGCGAATGTCCACTTTACCTTATTTTTTACAAGGGATTCTTGAAATTTGATAATATTTGAACAAGAAATTTCATTTTATAGTGTTTTTTGCAAGGGAAAGCGGGGGGGAACAAAACAACCGGATCTTGATCACCTCGAATTACCGGAGGCTTCCTCACGAAAATGATGAAAACGTGGCTGCGGCCTAGGCGCGGCGGGGGGGGCGCGCACCAGGGGGCCCAACAATAATTATTCTTTAGAATTAATAATGTTCAACAACAACAACAATCATTTAAGACTGGGGACACTCCGTTCTCACCAGTGCCAGGGTTTTCATAGGAGGCGGGCAATACCCCCACTTTGTGGGGGGGCCGGTTCAAGCTCTACCCAATTTCCAAACGACTCTTCGCCACCACCCACACCCAGCTTCCCGCCCTATGACGTTCGGACACTTCACTTCGTGGCATGCGGACGACCGTGGCTACTATTCAGGGCCCCGCGGCCGACGACGACGGCGTGCGCGCGCGAAGAAAAAACGATTGTGTCCCGCATGGTATTATTTGACAGGGATGATGGCCCTGGCAGGTGCGCAACCGTTGTTGCAGAAGTTCGAAAAAGTTGTTCGCAAAAGCCCGTTTGACAGAAATGATTAAAAAGTGTTGGGTTTCCTACAAATCCGCAAGAGCGCGCGGGATGAAATTTTGATAAATTTTTTTTAGGGGAAAAAATGGCTTTTTGATGTTTTTATGTTAAAATCGCTACGAAAACTAAGGTTTTGGAAGGATTTCGTCTTGCGCGCGCGAATGTCCACTTTACCTTATTTTTTGCAAGGGATTCTTGAAGTTTGGTTATGTTAGAACAAGAAATGTCCACTTTAGCTTATTTTTTGCAAGGGGAAACCGATCGTAACAACACAACCGGATCCGGACTCCCCCGTTTTGCCTGAGACTTCCTCACGAAAATGATGAAAATGAGGCTGCGGCCTAGGCGCGGCGGGGGGGTCGTGCACCAGGGGTCCCAACAATAATTATTCTTTTGAAGTAATAATGTTCAACCACAACAACAAAAAACGGACGCGTCGATTAAGGAATTGGGCGTTTTCGGTTTGCGAGAGGGCGTCGCGGCCGTCACTTTTGCGGTTCCGGGTCCATTGGTTTCGGTCCAAGGCCGTTTTCATTGAGGGGAGGTTTGCTGAAGGGAGGTTCGTCCACCGCCGAGCGGCGCGGGAAAGGCACACATCGAGGTGCCGAAAAAGCATACCCCTGCGGGGCTGGCCGCGCCGCTCGTTCGGGGAGCGATGCGTCTCCCCCTGAGCCGCTCGCTCCGTCCGCCCCTCTTTTTCGGCCGCGCCCTCCCCCCACTCCTCCTTTTGCATGGTGGCACGATTCGCTCTGACGGCATCCCCGTTTAGACATCCCATCGCCAGCGCAGACGTCCCTTGCCTAGCCGCCGACGCAAAAGCGTGTTACTCCGCATCCCCTTGTCCACAGCTTGTGTGCTTGTTTTTTCCCACATCCCCTTGTCCAAGAGAAACAACACCCTCGCGTGCATGTGTGTACTTTCCGCATCCCACCGTGCGTATGTGTGTGTATGTGTGCGCATGTTTTCCCGTTTCCCCTTGTGCTTGATCCCGGATCCCCTTGTCAAGGCTAATCCAGAGATTTGACCCTGGATCCCCTTGCCCAGGCCACTCAAAATAAATTTGCGCAGCGCCGAGTTAGTCGAGACACATCCAAGGAGACGTGTTGGTAGATCTGGAGAGCGGATCGTTGGTGCTCCAGCGCGAGTGAGGGACAGCAGAAGTCGTCAAGCGGCTTAACCCTGACATCCGCTGGCCTGACTTTCCCAGCAAGAGCCTCGGAGGTCCCGACCCTTTTTCCCCTCTGTCGTTTCTTCGTCCCCGATCCGTTTGGGATGGTCCTGGTGCCCGACAACGGGCACCAGAGGATCGAAATCGAGAAAAGACGTCGGGATTGAAAAACTCATATCGCTTGAGATTTTGGACGCCGACGAGGACGACGACGACTACGACGACGACGACGACGACGACGACGACGACGACCGCGGCAAGGACGCCGACTGCGGGCTAGCGACGACCGCGGCGCGGCCCGCGTGTCGCGCGCCCAGAGGAGCCTCGCGCTGCAGCCGAGCTTGGCTCCTGCGCCGGCGCCCCCCCGGGCGTTTCGGCACTCGAAGTCGCGCTCGCTGCCAGGCGGCGAGTAAGTCTTGGGGGCGGCCAAGAGGGGGGCGATGACTACAGCCGGGGCGCTGAAGAAGGAACCCTTTTCGTTGGGGAGGGGCTCGGTGTTCCTCGGTTGCTTCACAGTCTGCCCTGGGTTTTCCGGAGGCTTCCCATGGGGAGCCGAAGTTTACCTCATGAGGAGAAGTGGCCTCGTTCCTTATTTAGGGTTCCTTAGGTCAACGCCCCGAGTGCAAGGGGGGCTGAATGTCGGGGCCTGGGCCGCAGCCTGCAGGGGTAGGCCGGACCCCTGACTCCCAGCTGCATCCTTCTTGTTTCTGTTTCTGGTTCCGGATTGGGGTAGTTTGATCGCCACTTCCCGCCGCGCAGGTTGGGACGCTCGAGAAAAAAGAATGTCGGGGCCTGGGCCATGAATCTCCCCGGACTCCATGGCCCCCTCGTTTTCTTGCAGCACGTCCCGTGGTCCCCCACTCGTCCGTGCACGTGCCTCGGGCCACGATTCGCGAACCCCCTTGTGGGACGCCCCCGATGCCAGGCGGCGAGCGAGTAGATCCGATTAGGCTCGGCGTGAAGGAAGCCCAGATTTCCGACGATATCTATATATATATATATACATACATATACATATGGATATATATATATATACAAGTGGCACGTGTGTGCCCAGGCTCATACAAAAAAACTGAAGGGGCGTTTGAAGCAGGAGTGAAATGCAACATCGAAGTCGCACTCGAGCGCAAGTGGGGTTGCCACACCTTGCGATGTGTGTACCAGGACCCCCCAGGAAGCCTCAGGAGGCCCGACTTGGATACCAGAAGAGGCTCCAGGAGGCCCCAGGATTGTGAGTGTTGTGCGTGTGTGTGTGTGTGTGTGTGTGTGATGTATGCTTTGTGTGGTGCGTGCTTTTTGTGTGTTGTAGGTGTTGTGTGTGTGTGTGTGTGTGTGTGTTATGTTTGTCTAGCGTGTGATGTGTTGGGCGTGATTTGTGTCTCTGTGTGCATGTAGTTCTGAAGCCCCAGGAGGCCCCAGGAAGCCCCAGGCGGCCTCAGGAGGCCCCAGGAGACCCCAGGAGGCTTCAGGAGGCCCCAAGAGGCTCCAGGAGGCCGCGCCCCAGGAGGCCCCAGGAGGTTTCAGGAGACCCCCAGGAGGCTCCGAGGCGGGGTCTGGGGTGCCAGAAGGTTCAGAAAGCCCCAGGAGGCCCCAGGAGGTTCCAGGAGGCCCCCAGGAGGCTCCGAGGCGGGGTCTGGGGCTCGATTTGGAAGGATTTTTCAAGCGAAACCGCCATTCCCTGAGAATCGGGGTCACAATTATTGAAATTACCATGTGTTTTTGAAGGTTTTATGTTAAAATGTTGAAATTCCCATGTGTTTTTGGACCCTGACGTCACGATCTGCGTGAGGGGTGCCACCGATTTTCAGAATTTCGAGGATGTCCCGAGCGAAACGCCCAGAAAAATCGCGGACGCGTGCGCATTAATCGCCTCTGAGCTCTACTCCCTCGGAGAGGTGCGTATGATAATATATATATATATATATATATATGTATATATGTATATATATTTATCCATACACACATATATATATATATATATGGTCCCCCTGCAACCCCAAACCACCAAAATCACAAAACCTTGACTGATCGTTTGCTCGTCGTCTTTCTCCTCCTCCTCCTCCTCTTCCTCCTCCTCCTCCTCCTCCTCCTCCTCCTCCTCGTCCTCGTCGTCCTCCTCCTCCTCGAACGCCTTCGAATACCTGCGAGAAATGAGCGACATTGCGAAAAACAGCGAAAGCCATTGGAAAAAAAACCCAAAAAACTAGGATTTCGGGAGAACCTTGGCCTCCCCCCCCCCCGAAGTTCTCCCGAAATCATAGTTGTTTTTGCTTTTTTTGTTTTTTTTTGTTTTCTCAAGCGTTTTTTTTTTGTTGACTCTCTCCCCCCCCCTCTCCCCCCACTCTCCCCTTTACTCTCTCCACCTCCTCCTCCCCCTCACCCTCCCCCCCCCCCCCCCCCCTCATCCTCCTCCTCCTCCCCCCCCCCCCTCCTCCCCTCCTCCTCCTCCTCCTCCTCCCCTCCTCCTCCTCCTCCTCCTCCTCCTCCTCCTCGTCCTCCTCCTCGTCCTCCTCCTCGTCCTCCTCCTTCGGCATAGTACAAAACAATAGTGGTTCATACGTGAGCGCACGCGTCGCGCCGACGGCCCTCGGCGCCGACTGCGTAGCGCCCAATGCGCGCTCGCAGGGCGCGGCCGCCCGCTCACTCGGTATCGCTGGGGGGCGCTGCCGCCGGCCCCGAAGCCTGATCGCCCTGTTCAATCAGGCGCCCGAGCTCGGCCTCCAGGGTGCCGTCGTTGTCGTCGTCGTCGTCGACGGCGATCGTCTCCCCGTGGGCCGAGGCGACGATGGAGGCGAATATCGCCTCTTGCTCCGCGGCGTCCTCTCCCGACAGCGGACCTCCGCATCCCACCATGAGCCCCTTCGCCCTCTTCACTGGCGGAGGCGAGCACAAGTCCTCGAAGGCGCCGTGGTGCGCCCTGGCGAGGCTCTTGAAAATGGCGATCTGCTCGTCCTGGTCCTCCTTCGTCAGTTCCCCGCAACGTCCCACGATGTCAGGCTGCGCGGCGCTTGCGGCGGGGGCGCTCTCCTCTGGCCCATCCATGCCGCCGCCGAGACCGAACACGTCGTCCTCATATGGTGCGTCTGCCGCGTCGTCGGGGCGAGACGCCGAAGCGGCCGCGGCTGCTGCGTCTGCCGCGCCATCGGAACGAGACGCCGAAGCGGCCGCGGGGGCGGACGATGCGCTTGCAGCCGCGCCTGGCTCGACGAACCCCGAAATGCTGCCGACAACGGAAACCGCGCGTCCAGGGTCATCACCAAACATCGGGGCAACGCGGACCGTCGCAACCGTGGGCACGTCACGGCCCTCCACCAGACTGCTCATGTAGCCGATAGACCATTCCATCTTGTCGGCATAGTCTGAAGGGAGCGGGCGGACAGCTGGCGACGACGTGTCCCGCACCTCGCTGGCGAAGAGGTCGGGGGCTCCGGGGTTGGGCCACGGCATGAACTCGGCGCCGTCCTCCAGATCTGCGGACGCCACGCGCCAGTGCACCCCGAGGTCCGCGACCACGGAAGTGCGACCTGGCGAGGATGGCATTGAAGTCCTCCTCGGTCTTCACCTCCTCGAGCGACGGGGCGACGATATTCTTGAAGCGGTCCAAGTCGTACTTATCGCGCGTCGCGGCATCCAGCGCCGCCCTCTCCGCGTCGCGGTCGTAAGGGTTAGCAACGGCTTGCCTGCACGACCCTTGCTCGAAACCGCAGCCGCCCCACCGAGCCCACAGCAGGGCGTCCTCCTCTTTGGGGTTGAGGAAAGCCTTGAGGACGTCAGCCGATACCTTCAGGCGGTCACGCGATGGCCCTACCACCACCACCGCGATTTCCAAGCGGGAGAGGGTCGCAAGGGTTCGCCTCGATCGGGGCCACCCCGACTAAAAGAACCGCACTCCCTCCCCCCAGGAAAGAGCGGGCAGCAAGGGCAGGGGCCACGCGTGACCACCGAACCTTCTGCAGGAGGCCGTCGTCGAAAATCCCAGGAAGGACGTCCGTCGTCGGCTCTCCCTTGAAGAGATCCATATGCTTGACAGTGAGGAAGGCGATGTCGTCGGCGGACCCCTTCTTCTGGATGCTGTACGCCGAGTGCGTCCAGGCCAAAGTCTTGGAGCCGTTGCTCTTGCCGACCCTGGACTTCCCGATCCACAAGACCCCGTGCAAATGGAGGGTGCCAATCATGAACTTGAGGACGCCGTTGAGGAACCAGCCAGCGAAATCCTTCACCGTCAAACTCCATCGCGTAATCGGCTTGGCGTTTGTCCTCCCTTTCTGATGATTGCGCAAAGCGGTCTCCACCTTGGCGGCTGGCCAACCGAAAACTTTCGACCCCTCTCTATTCACCTCCGCGTCGGCCCACTCCATGAACTGGTTCCTGTTGCTACTGCGAGGGCCGTGCTCACGGATAAACGCGTACCCCTGCGCGCGCTCATCTTGCTCTAGCGGCTGCTTCCGCTCGTGCTGCGGCTTGATCGTGTAGTACCTTACGGTGGAGGCCTTGGATAAGAATAGCTTCGATAAGGACGCAAGGGTCTCGCGGCCGATGGGCGCTCAAACATTTGCCACGCAGCCCGCGGGGGAAATGCGCCGCAGTCTGGCACTCAGGAGGGCGTTCCTTATCTAATGCCCCCACCGTACCTGGTTGCCCTCGAGCTTCTCCAACATAAACTGGAACGCAATCGAGCCCGACCTGAAGTTTTTGCCGTAGTCGATCTTGTGGGCCTCCCCGCGGGCGCAGCTCAAGATGGTCGCAGCATCGACTCTGTTCTTCTCGAAGCTGACAATCTTGAGGATGCGGTAGGTGGAGCACTCGGGGTCCGCGGGGTTCTCGCGCATGATGAACAGCTGCATCGCGCACGGAATTGCAGGCTCCTTCTTGAGAGACTATGGGTCCTGCAAGCCCTTGAAATTGCCATTGCAGCACAGCTCGTGGACCTTTTTGAAGTCAATTGGGCCCGCGTAGTTGGACACGACGTCGGCGAATGCTACCAACTTCGTAGTGCTCGAATTCGCGATCGGCACCAAGGGGAGGTCGAACATTGAAAGGCCACCAGCGAAAGACAACCTGTCCTTCTTGACGCACTTCGAGGGGTGAAAGTCCAACTTGCTCCCGCTGACCATCAAGCTCGCCTCCTCGAAAGCAGCTTGCCGTCGCCGGCAGCGTCGTATGCGACCTGCCCCAAAGAGGGAACCTGGTCGGCAGGGGCGCTGGCCATGGCTGGCGGGGCGAGAAAGACGGAGCGGGCGGAGGCCTTGGCGGGCGGGCAAGGCCGCACAAACGCTGAGCGCAGACGAGCTGCGGGGGGCGAGCCTCCAGGTAGGAGGACAGTGGCATTTGTGGACAGGAAGAGGAGGGGCGACGGCGACGTGATCACGATCATGGAATGCGGGACTGGTGATGACCCTTTGAGTGGGCACCGTGAAGAGGCTTTCAGGCGCATCGTTAACATCGCTCTAATAAGTTGAAATCGCGCGGGGCAGCGCTGGCCGCTGGCTGCCCCGCGTCGCCAAGCCGAGCCGCGCGGGCTCAGTTACCGAAGTCCTTGTGCCACAAGTCGATCAGCATGTCCCCCGTGCGCAGCCAGTTGTCGGCACCGCGGTTCCAGTATTCCCACTGGAACGAACGGATCTTCTGGCGGAGAAGCTTTGTATTCACGACCTTGACGCTGCCGAGGTGCTTGCGGAGACCGTACCAGCAGCGGTCGATCACCTGCGCCCCAGCCATCACCCACAACTTCTTTGTGGGCGCGCCGTCCTCGGCAATGTTGTGGAAGCGGGGCTTGGCGCACTTCGGCCTCACCCAGATGTACTTCCCGTTGACCTTGACGCGCTTGCGGCAATGGACGACGTAGTCGTGCTTCACGCCGTCCAACTTGACCCTGTAACCCTTGGCGCCGTCCGCGTGCAGAATGACGCGGCGGCCCTTGAGCCACTTCTTCGCCGCGGGCATCCAGTCCCGCTTGCGAATGGCCCCTGGGCCTGGCGCCCTCTTCTTCGTCTTCACGGGCTTCAGCCTAAAGAGCACGAGAGTGTCTGGAGCGCCTCTCTCCACGATCCCGCCCCACTGCTCCCAGTCGACAGGGCTGGAGCCGCCGTCCTCGGACACCTTTTTCGCGAGGTCCACCTCGTCGGCCTCGATGTCCTTCCAGGCCTCGCCCTGGCCGAACTGGATGGACTTCTCTTTCGCCACGACGTATCTCTCCCTGGTCGCATACAGGCGCCCGTATATGCCCTCGACCATCTTGTGATTCTTCTGGACGAGGCGCCCAGTGCACACCTGCGAGGCCCCCGCCACGGCCGAGAATAAGGCGGGCGCCTGATCTCGCAGGGGCGCGTGCGATTGCCCTGTGCCTGCCACGAAGATCGGGTGGAACGCGTGCGGCAAGACGTGCCGATGGCACCCACTGTGGTTGCACCTGTGGCCCCATCCGCCCTGCTTCTCAGACCACTTTTGAAGCTTGCCGAGTGTGCCCCTGGTGCAATGCGGGCAGCTGGCCCCCGCCCACTCTGGCAAGTGGCCGTGCTTCTTCAGCACGTCGATGACGTGCTTATGCCCCTTGTTCATGAAGTCGGACAGCCCCGCGCACCACTTCATCCTCTCGTTCCGAGATTTTACTGTGCGGATCCCGTGCCTCACGTAGGGCATGCGCTTGGGGGGGCTGTCTGCGGCCTTCATTACTGCCTTCTTTACCTTCTTCACCGACTGGTTCTGGCTGGCCGCCCTGCGCTTGCCCTTCTTCGGCAAGGGAAAGTTCGGCATCTCAGCCCGCAGCGGCAGTCCCGCGAGGCGGCGCAGGCGGCGGCGGCGAAGATCACTTGAGCCAGAACAAGCTACGGCATTCTGCCATCTGAAGCGGGAGCGGGGGGGGGGGGGCGCGAGTGGGGCAAGGGCCAAACGCGCCGCTGCCTGCGGCTCGCGTTTCCGTCGGCGGTCGAGAATGCGCACAACTCAAGCTCATAGATCACAACCAATGGCTTCCCTCGCTAGCGCCGAGGGCCGCGCTCCGGGCCCGCGCCTCAGCCGAAGCGGCGGCGCACGGCGCGGCACCCGAGAGAGGGGCCCACGCGCTGGCGGTGCGAAGGCTGATCGCCCTCCGCATCGAACACGAGGGCGCGGTGAGGCGGCAGGCCCAGCTCGGCCTGGATGCGCCATTCCATCCAACTCCATGTAGTCGACCAGTCCACCCCCCTGTCGATCGCCCATCCAACGACGTAGGGAGACGTCAGACGAACGCAGCACGCGCGAGCCTTGGATGCAACCGCAGAGGGTGATCGCATCGGCCAACTCACTGAAATCGCAGCTCGGATTCGGATTGATCGGCTCGACCGCAGATCGCGATCGGCAGGGTCACAGAAATCGCAACTCGAAGTCGGATCGATCGGCTCGGTCACGTCGAAATGGTCGCTCGCATCGGCGCTGGCAATCGGAGCGATCGGCGGCGCCACACCAGACGTCGTGAACTGATCGAGCCAGGGCAAGCGCCTGGTCGTTGCGGGCGACGAGCGTCGCGCGAACCTCCAAGCACATGTACGGGCGAACAATGGTCGGGCCCATGGCTGGGTCCGACGTAGCCCACTGGTGGAAAGACAGCCCGTCCGCGACGAACTGCACGAGAGTCTTGCTGTACTTGAAGCGGTGGGGCCAGACGCACACGGTGAAGCGGTCCTGGGCGCAGGGCCGAAATAACTTGCTTGTTTTTCTTCACCCGCCCTTCCTCCTTTTCCCGTCCTCGCCAGCTGCCAGACGCAATGGCTGGTTGGGCCCGACATTGCGCCAGGCCGCGGCTGGCGGCACGCCGCCGCCGTAGGCGGGGTTGCCGATGAACGCAAACTCGCACGCCATGCTGGAGGCGGGGAATGGTTTCGCACCTGCGTGTGTGTGTATGCATGTATGATGTATACACTTATATACATACATACATACATACATACATACATAGATACATGCATACATGCATGCATGCATACCTACATAAGTACATAAGTACATACATACATACATACATACATGCATGCATACATACATACATACATACATACACATATACCTATACATACAAGGCTGCACTGGCGCTTCGCGTCGCGCACCTTGTTTCGCAGCCTGCCTTTCTTAGCGCGCCTCACATTTTTCCTCTCGCGCCAGCTCCGCCCGCCCCTTGCCACGCGCGCGCGTCGCCGAGGCAGGGGGGGGAGGCGGGCAGGCGAGTCGGCAGTGGGAGAGCGGGGGAAGGGAGGCCCTTGCCGAGACAGCCCCATAAAGCGCACGGCGCGAAGTCAGGCCCCCCCGCCGCATACGCGGCGTCGACCTCGCGTTCGCCGCGCGCCCTTGCCCGCGGCCACGTTTCCGCCGCCGCGGCACCCACGCTGTCGTGGACTTTGCGCAAGGCGACTAGGGAGTGCCAAAAAACTCAAACGGCAGCGCCGCGCTGTCTCGCGCGCGAGGCGGGCACATGTTCAACATCTGTGTTCGGCCCGCCTCGTTTTGTCTGCGCACTCCAAGCACGCCTTCTCGCGTTCGATGCTCATCACGCACACCAAGATTTTGGTGTTAGAGTTGGCGTGACTGCAGGCGGCCCACTCGCTGGCAGGCACGAGCGCGTCGCGCCACCTCGCCGACGCCAGCGGAAGGGCCTGGCCAGAACGCGGGGGCACGGGATTGCGAACGACCCCGGCGCAATACCTCCGCGCAGCGAAGGCGGCGCCCGTCGAAAGCAAATAAACGGGCAGGGGGCAAGTTTTGACAATATCATTAATGCCAAAACGGTCAAAATCGGGGAGGGGGGGGGGGGGGGGGGGGGGGGGGGAATCGCCAATGACACGAGGGTCGTGCACTGCAATGCCCGCACGGCGCCCTCAGCTCCGCAGCTGTCAGCGCTTCCACGTGCACGTCCTCCATGTCTGGCGGGGGTTGCGCGCTAAGAGTCAGCCCGCGCCACCAACGAGGGAGATCCGCGGTTCGCAACGACGCCCTCAGCAGACTCTCTCGGACCATCTGCCGCGCGCAGCGGACGAGGCAGAACGAAACCCCAAATAAGCCTCTCACTGCCACGGCGACTTTGCCCCTGAAGACGCGGCGGTGCCTGAGCCAAAATGGCCGCGGCCGTCGTGAGGGGGGGAGCGGGGCGAGGAGGATCGGGCACCTCGAGCACGACCAAGAGAGAGCCATGGACGACTTCCAAGATGGCACAAGGTGTCCGAAGATGGCTGAGTTTGATGGCTGAACGAAGCTTTCACCTTGCTCGAATAGGCTGGAAGATTGGCCGGATACGATTTGCTCGATCTCGAGGCTAATCCAAAAGGGTGCTCGTACTACAGCAGGCCTCTTCGATGTGTTTGAGCCTGCGGGGAGACGTCTCGGAGTCGTCGCGGAAACAATGTTACGGATTTGGGAAATAATTTCGAGCCCCTGTTGGTGGATGTTTGGTATTACTGGGGACCGCGTGAACCCTGGTTGGGGCGTCTGGGCGCCTGTTGGCACTTTCGCGGGTCCTTTAGTAAGGGGAAAACCAACCTACCTCGCTTTTGACCACCCTCGCTTCCAAGAGATACCAAACGATGCCGAATTGCAGCCTGTACTGGTCAGGCCGCTTGACGAGGAGGCGTGTGGTACGGCTTGGTTTTGCCTGGAAGCGAAAGCGGGGTAGGTAATTCACGCTCTGATTTAGGGCCGGCGGGCTCGCGCCTGATCGCGGTCTCAAGGTCCGACATTGAGAAATGAATGGCCCTCTCTTGGGTCCGTCCTGGGGTCTCCGACGGGGACGGCGGGGGCATCTTCGCCCGTCTTGGAACCTTTTCGGGCCGTACGGATTGTCCTGGGGCGAAGTTTGGGGCCCTTG